CCCCAGCTGGTCCAGGACTGAGCCTCATGCAGTACCCCACTCTGGCCAGTCCAGGACCCGTGCTGCATGAGGTGCCCACCCCAACCAGTCCAGGGTAGGTGCCATGATCAGCACATGTCCTGGACTGGCCCACGCAGATGCTACATGTGGTGTAATCCTGGACTGGCCAGAAAAAGCGACATGTGCTCTAGATCTGGCATGCATGGGGGTCCATGGGCCTGATCCAGCCCATGGACTGGCCTCTGGCACCGGATGAGTTTGACATCCCTATGTTAAAGCATCATCGTTATATGACACAAGCCTAAGCCATAGATGAAAAAATACAAGCCATTCCCAGGTACATAAAATTGATGTGCCAAGTTCTCTAATGGCTAACCCTAACCGCCCTGCTCAGAGTTCCCTACCCCAAAACCGTGCTGAGGAAGTCAGGAAGGAAGTGAGACATTTTCAGCTGTTTTCAGCTTCACCTCCCATAGCCACCCCATCCAAGAAAGGGCAAACAGAGATGGTCTTAGAGAAGAAATCACAGCAGATGTTAAGGCAGATTCAGGATGACCAGGGGCTGTGTGCAGTGTCCTGGCAGATAACCACAGCTCAGAGCATCCCTGTAGTCTGAACATCTGGGCAATAGGACAGTATATGTGGGGTGTGATGCAGAACCCCCCCATGAGAAGAGATTGCATGCAGATATCAGTAATTAACCCCTGCCTCCATAATGAGAGCCCTGCAGCTAATCAGCTTGCCTGGATACCCAGTCTCTCTCTACAGGCAGCATGGGAGTGTAGAGCGGGTCTGGAATGGAAAATCTTCTCTTCACCTGGTTCAGAGGAGGGATCAGACCTGAGGTGCCCCCACCTCTTGGGGGCTGTCCTAATGCCAATTTGGTGGGGTCTTCTGGTGCATGTGCTCTCCACATCGCCTATGAGAGCTGCTCTACTTTGTGGAAACTGCTTAGCCATTAAGTGAGCGTCTCAAGTAGCCCGGTGCCTACTGGGTGCCAGTCTCCACCCCAGGGAAGACATAAGTTCACAGCTCCACAGTCAGAGGAAGAAGTTAGACTAGATATTCCACTTCCTAGGTGGCACCCCTTGAGGTAGGACTTAGGTGGTAGCCTTTGTGGGTTAGATGAAAGTGGTGCCTCCACTTTTGTATATTTAAACCCTTGAACTTTTATTCAGCACAAATTCCCAAATTGTTGCAACTCCACTCTCCTCTTGAGAGCGATGCCTGGATTCATCGGACCCATAATTCCCCTGGGAGACAGGCAAGTGTGATCTGTGTGTGACAAGAAGTCATAGAAGAGGTAAGGGACTTGCTGGCATCCACACCGCAGGACCGAGGCTTGGGCAGGAATAGAAATCCAGGGCCAGATTCCCAGGTGAAGTAAATGGTCATGGACACAACTGACTTGAACTGACTTATGACAGTTCACGCCTGGCCACATAGTCCATTGGACTGGGCTCGCCTGGTAGGGAGAGTGGCAATGGGCTCCATCTTTCTATGGATGGTAGCAATAAGACATGGGCATGCCGGCTACAAAAACACACTCCTTCCCTGCCAAATCTGGTGCAGAAGCTTGCCTTCCCCACACCAGTGCTCAATACTTACTACTGCTGCAGCCCAGGGTGAAATCTGTAGCTGCAGCCTTTGCACAGGACCAGGAAAACCTGAGTTCCTGGTTCTCTTTCTGCCTGGACTCCAATATTTCAATTGGCATTCATGTGAGTGAGTGGAGAAACGCATCCCAAGAGCCTGAAAAACCTACAGGATCAGGAGGGGCTAGACCATGGATTTAACTGTGACACTTTTTTATGTCCCTTCGCTTTGTTTCCCTCCCCCCTACCTCCTAGCCCCTTTGGGAGATGGCTGCTGTTATTTTCCTAAACGATTTTGCTAACCAACATCTCTCTCCAACTCTCCCTAGATCCTGGTCTATCACCCAGATTTCCTCAAGTATGTGTTTGACCACTGGCTGCAGCGCCATGGAAGATACCCCTCCACAGGCATCCTGTCAGTCATATTTGCTCTCCACGTATGCGATGAGGTAAAGGCTGTTTCCTTTCAGACTTTAACGTACATCGATAACCTGATAGACTCTAGTGCTGTGGCCTAGATCCTCTTCCACCGCTTAGACACCTGAGCATGATAGCATCCATTCTGCTTGAGTCCCTGCAAAACAGTTCATTCAGAAGGTGGGAAGGTCTTCCTCCTCCTCACTGCTTTTTTATGACTTGGTTGTAAGGCTAAGATAATCACATCTTACCAAAAAACAAATTCAGGGTTTTCAGGGATTTGAACAGTAAAATATGATTGCATTTAATAAGGGCATCTGATCAATGGAATAGGATCTGGCTCTGTAAATCATGTCTCACTGAGAAGCCAGCATGAGGTTTCTGCATTGCTTGACCCATCTCTTTTGGTCATTCCACTATCTTTGGGTAAACCTGGGCACTGGCCACATCCCTGACATAAAATGAAGCCAACAAAGCTCTGTTAATTTAGGCTAGTCGAGGTGCTGAACCTAACAATTCATGGTCCTGTTGAGACTTTCTCCACCTCTTTCTAAGTCTGTTCTAATGAGCCCACACGTCAGTAAACTCTGCCCTGCCTGGTGTTTGTGTGCTTTTTGCCCAGTCACAAGTCCTTTATATTGTATCTTTGTAATTTCCTTACAAAACTTTCCACACGTCCCCCTAAAATTGAATGCCAATAGGTCCCTATCTTTAAGAAGACCAGCAAAACCCATAGGCTATTTTTAGACTGGGCCACTTCCAAATACAATGAACTAGTAACAGTCAGGACTTCGTTAACCATCTATCACCTTCTGCCAGCTCTTTCATAAGATTCTCATCTTGTAGGATAATCCCTGCCTGGTACAGATTTAAGATTCAATTTTCAAGCCTCCAGTCTTTTCCAGTTTTCATAGCTGGTTGTATGCCACCTCTTCCCACCCACGACCAGATAGAAGGAGGTATGTCTAGAGGACACTGTGCTCCAGAAATCCACAGCGAGGGGGTACCCCAAGGGGGACTGTTAGCAGATGGTGTAAGTTAGGGACAACCCTGAGGCTGCTGCAGTTGACACATGGTGATGAACCCGTTCCTGACTGTCTCCAAGATCAGGGGGAGCACCAAGATGGTTTTAAAGAAACTTTGCATTTCCACTTTGTGCCCTACCTACACAAAAATCGCTCGTATGAAAAACCAGATCCTAATTTCACCCTGCCCCTTAAGATATATTTATGGAGAAATCCAAATTGATAGACTATGCTGCCACTAGATATTCCTGTTGTGCTACAAAACAAATGCGGTCGAGAGTCACTGTTTGAAAGAAAATGTACGTACAGTCCCATCCATTCAGGCCTCCCACTAACACCAGTACCTGACCAAGAGCAGAGCAGGAGCTGTGATTTGACACACAGTGCCAACAGAGTACCCATCTTGTCACCGGGCATCAATGCTCCTCCAGCCATGGACACCTAGCTACGACTAGACAAGAAGTATCATCTTGAAAACTATACATACACAGCAAAGAGAGAAAGCAAGGGTCTCTCGTATTTCTGAGGTCTGCATTCAACAGAGAGGGGTTCCCAAAGAGAGGGGTTATGATCTGGTCAGAATTGGTGTCAGAAAGTCATGACCACTTGCTTTACTTCGTCACTAGGAGAGTGGGGAATCCTAGACGGGTAGCGAGAGGTTTCTCTGAAGATCCAGGTATAGAAAAAGTCTCAGCATGGTTTACTTCTGTTGCAGTCCCTTTGGAGAAAGACACAGTTTTCTGCTCTGTGTGCTCAGCTGACCTGGGTCGAGACTCCATGGTGCTACCACTGTACAGAAACCATGGACGTTTCTTCAGAAACGGAGTTAAGACCTCACCGCACTGAGGGCAAACTCTGACGCTGTCACTTTTTGATTCTCTCCCTTGCTAGGTGAATTTGTACGGTTTCGGTGCAAACAGCAAAGGGCATTGGCATCACTACTGGGAAAACAACCCTTCAGCAGGGGCTTTCCGACAAACCGGAGTCCACGATGGGGATTTCGAATCCAATATAACTTCGACTCTTGCTGCTGTTAACAAAATACGTCTTTTCAAGGGCAGATGACCCTTCCCAGAGAAAGGGATTTGTGACTGCAGTTTCCAGTACACAGGGCACGTACCGAAGCACAGAAAGGGGCAAGGTGAGGATGATCCAGGAGCTGGGCAGCTTTGAATATCTGCACCTGCAGTTGATTAGGAGCATCTCGCTACTGCGCTGGCCACCGAGCAGAACACTACTGCTTCCAGACTGAACTTGATTGCCTCATTTGAGAATACAGATCTTGGGGACTTAGGACTCAATTGTGGGCCCTACATGATCTGCTGAGCCACTGCTTTGAGAGAGGGAATGAAGGGGAGGATTAAATGCTGAAATATTGGGGAGAGGGCTGCCTCTTGCAGCTAAGGGAAACCAGATGGTTGCTTTCTAGGAGTTGCTGGATGCATGCCCGTGCTTTCCTTGAGTAAGCCAGGGAGGTCCAGAAGAGAGGTGAGAACAACTCCTGGGTGGCTGCAAACAGCTCAGTAAGGATTACCTCAGAGGAACAAGTTCACATATTTCACTGTCTGTCCTTTCTTCAAACCAGCTCTTATATTCCCTGTGTTATTTCTCGGCCCATGTTGTATTATGGACAGGCGGGATGCGCCCAACTTGCCTGATGTAACAGCAGCCTCTGACCTTGCATCAGTTTGCATTCAGAGCATCTAGAAATCTGGAGAAAATCCTTCATCTCTGATCTTTTGTTTTTTTTAATGTAGTGTCTTATACAGCCATAATGAGAGAAGGGACACAGTTCCAACTGAAAACTCCAGCAAAAAAATGGCCTTTTTTTTTAGCCATTTGTTTGTTCTTGGCTTGTTTGTTTTAAACATGACTTTGCTGTTGTCATTTCTGAATGCTGGTTTTTATTTAAACCATGAGAGAGAGAGAGAGAGAAATGGACTATTTTTCTTTCAATGGTTTACATGTGCCTTTTATATTTGTGCAACAAGATATATTTTTTTTAAAGTCAGAAACCCTAAATTAAACTTTTTATAGGGGAAAAGAATTAACCAAAGTTTAGGCTCCACTGTAAACATCTTGCCCACTTTCTCTTTCAGTCTTTTTTTTTTGCATCTTCTAGCAAGTTCCCTACTCTGTTTGGAGCACTTTCCCTGATCCAACAACATCCAACAAGTTCAGCCCCTTCCTTCCTTCAGATCCATCCTTAAAACCAAGAGATGCTATCTTTTCCTGTTTCTGTTTCTTCTTTTCTTAAATCCCCT